CTTCAAATTCTGTGCCAGAATTCATCTGTCCTACTGTTTGACTGATGCTGTCATGCCAGTTTATTTGCAACCATCGGCCAGAAATTTTCAATTCGTGAGTTAAAATCGAATACCCTGTATACTGAAGAAACCTAGGTCAACGCAAGCAACAAACGGGCTCACATTATCTTACGGAAAGGTAGGGTGGCAGAAGTCCCAATGATATGGCATAACCACGGATCTTACCTTAGAATGTAACGATGGCTGGTTAATGTACCGAACATGCAAACTAGAAGGGAATGGGATGTATACCGACAGAGATCCCATAAACTAATTTAGAGGCTGTGCAGGTATGAAGATGACACGTATAAGCTTCTAATATTCATTTCTTTCAGTGCCTCCCCATACGCATACGGCCATCATGATGATGTAAGCAAAAGCAGAATACGTCACAAGAAAAACGGCAGCATGCCTTTCACTCTAGCATCAAGGAAAGCCGAAGCAATAGTCGCTTTGTTGGCAACTTTGTAGACGTCAAAGTAGATGCTTAGAAGTGGGCAACACACCGAATTTCCTAAAATAGAGTATGTGATATGGTTATTCGTTTCCTAGCAGCAATGCGGACAAAAAGGTCTATTGTTTCGGACACGGATATATGGGAACCATTGAAATTCCACACGTCGCTCTATGAAGTTCTCTAGGACTCGTCCATTGCAAATTCTCATAAGAATTATTGTATCCCGACCATTGGGAGCAATTGTTCTGGAGTACGATAACCCGAATGGTTACGATTTTCTCGTGATTGAACTCTGAGATCACATGTGTGAGTCCATTTTTCTTACAGAAAGTATAGTACGACCTCCAATATAGAAACAATGACAAAACGAGACCTCCGAATGGAAATTTGCCATTTCATTCTGCCTTTTTGTATTGCAAGGTGTTATTACTCTTACTTGTAATGTGTGTATTCCATGAAATGCTACTCATTAGCATATCTCAACATGTTCACTTTTCATGCTAATTTTAGGTGTGCTGTGCGCTTTCTTAGCGGTGTAGCGATTGAACGGCCAATGATCAACATCCTTTTTAACTTTACATCAAAAGACAATATTTAATTGAACGACGAATTCTGGATTAATTAAAATGATCCGAAGCATCACTCGGATTTATTTCAAATATAACAAATAAACTCTTAATTCTGGAACAAGAAGATATATTCAATGGTTGATGAATTCTATCTCCTTATCGAACATGTTTTATTAAGTCATCACTTGAAACAGTGATTTCATCACGCTCAAACTTTGGAGATTTTCTTAAATTTCATGAATATGGAATTTATTCATGAAGGTTCAATAAATTCATGAAACTCAGTTTTCTCTATTATTTTTCAATTTCTGTTACAACTTTTCGTTTATTTTATATTTTTATAGAAATTGACTTTGATATTACCAATCATTAGAATTCACGCGAAAAATACGTGTAAATTAGACTTATTCAGATATCTAAGCCACAATTTGAAACTTGAATTAGACTTCAGAAATTCGGGAAAAATTAGTGTTCCAACGTTACATAAAATTTCAATACCAAAAGATCCGTTTTCTCAATTTAAAAGCATGCTACATATAAAAAATAATTGTGTATATTCACTATAATGTAGATATACGTATACGCATCCCAACGACCACGAAATGACTGGCGTACACTTTAAAGATGCCGGCAGGTCATATATTTCAGCATCAGAGATGTTAATTCTGGTGACGCGGTATTTAAGAGAGTTAATCTGCGTATCACAAAAAGATTCGTCGTTGTTGTGATGCATATATTTTAGTTGCTTGTTATTCATTTCAACAATTCTTGTAAATATCGAGCACTGTTTCCTGCAAATATCCGTAATGAAAACGACTTTTCTTTTTCCATGTTCTTTGCATTTACCTTGTTTTCATGTTAATATTTTACAGTACACTCTGTGTATACTATAATGCAGCTCGCGTTGTGATAAAAATTAGTTTTATTCTTGAAACATAACTACAGTTTGGAATGGAAATCAAACTGCTATGCACTTTTCTTAAAATTATTAGTTTAGTTTCTCAAAGCGCATCATACCTTTCACTGTTTTAAAGCAGTTTCAAACTGTGCACCGTGTTCTAATACACTCGTATGTAAAATTAAGAGAATTTTCAAATTATATCTATTCTGACGAAACGTATTGAACCTAATTATGCCTCTGATGAATTATACAAATATTTGGAGTCGAATAAATAAGTGTACACGGTGTGTGTCTGCGGGTTGTGATTGTTTCGAGAGGTGTTTCTCGATTTGTGCGCTCGTACACCTTCACGACATTCGCAGTGTTTGTTGCAAGAGTTGGGAAAATTTTATATGGTAAAATATCAAGTAGACGAACGTATGGATGACGGAATAAGATGGAGAACAGTCGGTAAATTGGAGGCAGGTAATTACAAGCGCAAATAGCTGCACAGCTCGATGTGTCGATTGTCATTTGTCGAAATAGCTTCAAGACACTCGATCCATATGAAGAAGACCTAGAAAAGATCGCCCAAGATCCATAATGACGAATGAGAACCGTTATGCTGTATGCTGCCAGTGAAACCCGAATTTCACGGTTTAGAGTGCCCGAAGACTGCATGAGATAGGGTTGTATGCCAGAAGACTCTCTGTTTGCATCCTGCTCACTGCAGCACACATGAGACAGCATTTAGCATGGAGCAGCCAACATGAACCTTCAATCAGATCTCAGTGGAGTACCGTGATTTTTACAGATGAGTCGTGCTTCAGCCAAGACACTGATTCTCTGCCTATCTGCGTCTGGAAAGAACCTGAAACATGATACGATCCGTCCCTCGTAAGGGAAAAGGATCATTACGAAGGTGGAGATGTAATGGTTTGGGCAAGCATTATGTTAGACTCTGCACGCATGTAACAAACACTCCCTGACTGCTGCGTCACATAGAGAGGAGATCTTAGAGTCCAGAGAGGAGATCTTAGAGCCCTATGCTGGACATTTCCAGGAGCGCAGTTTGTCCTGCGTTCCTGTTAATGTATAAAAAAAACTCGTCCACATGCGACTCAGCTGGCCAACGATTATCTGAAAAGTGAGGATATACCGCCGGATGGATTGGCCAACCAAATCTCCTGACCTCAACCCTGTATAGCAGTGCTCCGCAACCTTTTCTCACCTGCGACGCACAAAAAATCTTTCTGGAATTTCGTGGCACACCAAAAGCTAATGTATATATGTATTGATTTATACACAAAATTTACAATAAATTTTTGTTTTTAATTTGAATATATACAATTATAAAACCATAACATATTTATTTATATGCAATCATAATAATTATCAATGTGATACCTGCGCTTAAAAAAAGTTATATATTTTTGAGTTCCGAGTTATCAAGGAAGTGCCGAAAATATTCAAATGCTGACACACAACCACCAATTCAAATCACACACACAACCACACAACAGTGAAATATATAAAACATTTAAAATAGACATTATTAAGGAAAAAAAATTGTCATTGTGTATTAAATACATGATAAAAAATTGCAAAATGTCAATTACATGTATTTGATTGCGGCACACCTATATCCTACTCATGGCACACCAGTGTGCCGCAGCACACAGGTTGCTGAGCACTGCTGTATAGCATGTATGGGACGCTCTTGGGATGGCAATTTTAGCTCGCCACACATCTCTGAGACCCATTCCGCAGTTGAAATCTGTCTTGCTGCAGGAGTGGGATAGGATCGACTGCCGCAGGGACTCTCAGTTACCTTCTGCTCAGTATGCCCTTACGCTGCGCGACCTGTCTGGCTGTGAGAGGAGACCATATCCTTTCATATTCACTGATTTTCAGTTCGATATCATAGCTTGGGTTTTGGACATCCCTGCATTATGAGCTTTACTGATAACCATGCGTACATAAAATGCATATTCGCACCAAATTTCATCAAAACCGGGCCATTAATTTTTCAGAAATTCGAGATAATGTGCAAATTCTCTTAATTTTTCACACGAATGCAGTTAAAGACGATGCTAATTTTAGGATGGATAATGGCTATTGAGAAACATAAAAGATTATTTAAACTACAACATGGAACATTAAATATACGCTTCAAATATTACCGAATTAATTCAAGTACGTATTGCTGTAATTTGCATTGTAGGAATAACACAGGTTTATGCTTCAGTTTGCGTTTAGTGAAATAGTAAAACCAAAGCCTGATCTCCATATATTAGTCCTCCAGATATGCTAAAACGTTTTTATACCGTTTCGAGACTAATAGCCCTTGTGAGCCCTTTTAGGCTAAAAAGAAAGAAACTCGTAACTTTTTAAGTTTTATAAGCTGAGCCATCTTCACCTTCCATCACTTCATATAGTCATAGGTGAGAGAGGTACATAATAATTTTGGTCAAAAATTTCCATAGTAAATTTTCAGTGAATAAGCACAAGTTTTGTCTACGATGACCCATATCAAGCTTCCACAAATTTCTACTTTCTGTATTTAAGCTTTCTGAATTAATATGAAGAGTTGTTTGGATTTGGGGCAAAACTGGACAACCGAAGGTGGTACTTTACATAACGGTTTTCAATGAATAAGGTAACATATTTTGCATGTATAAATTTTATATTTAATATTTTTACTTATAACAGTTTTTTCCTAGATCATCATTTTAACGAATTTTTAGTCTTATTTATACTTAATACTTAAAAAAAAAAAAAAAAAAAAAAAAAAAAAAAAATTTTGACGTAGATTTAGAATGAAACTCGATTTAGAGGCGATCAGACACAAGTTCCTCTTAATAGTATTCCCTTCTGAAGAAGAATAACTTGTATCTGATCTCGCCCTCAAAATGGATAGAATTTCATTCAAAATCTATATCAAACTGTGGTTGCAAATTAGGCTAATTTAACATTTTACGGTGACGCTTTTCACGTCTAATTTGCCATTTTTATTTGTCATTTTATATGAAATTGGAGTATCTACTTCTTATAGGTATTCTTGTTCAATCTCTGCTGGCTTTCTCCTTCACAAGTAACATCCAAAAGTTTGTTTCCTTGAAATCCAACGAAAGTCCGAGGATAGCATGCATACGGGGACTAAAGTTCATATCTGTGTGTCTGTATGTTGTCGTATGGACATATGCAACACCTCAAGATTTTCATTTTCTGAAATATCGTAAGTATGAAGTTGTTTCAGTCAGAAAGTTATAAAAAATCATTATCAAGGAAACAGGATTTCCTTGTATTTAAATATGTAACCTTTGAGAATTCGAAAATTCTATAGCCTCCAATCTCCCCTTCTCTCCCCGCTGAAAAACGACACAGTTATAACATGCAGTCAATGGGTGTTAACTGCATATCTAATTTTTGTTCTAAATTTTGATAATAAATGTTAAACAAGATTAAACACACTGAAATTTAATAAATAAGATTAAATATACTTCAGCTCTTTAGCTCCCCCGATTATTAAATTTTAGCCTTTACTAAAAAAAATGTTTCCCAGCAATAAATGAGGTTTACTAAGTTAGTGCAACCAAAATTAGACAAATCCCATTCCCCTCCTCAAACTATTTTCTAAATAATTTGTATTATTAAATTTTATTTCATCTGAAATTTTTATTACATTTTATTGATTTATGTCTTATTAAATTTAATTTGATTTGACTTGTCCAGATCTATTGCAGATTTTTATTTGAAGATTCGAGCAATGTTTAATTAGTTAAAATTTGCATTTAATTTTGCTTACTTCAGTATGAGGTACATTAATTTAGAAGTCAAATAACAAAAATCAGCGTTATATCTGCAAATTTTCACAGGACTAGTTTTGATGGTTTTACCGAATCACCCTCCTCAGCTACCAAAGTGTAAATGAACGAGATAAAATATAGTAAAAATCTAAAATACGGATTACTGGACAGAAATTAAGTAGCGCCAGTAGCTTCATTTTAAATAGTTCTAAGCTTATAATTTTATTTTGCATCAAAAATTCAATATACTACAATTTTTTAAATATAGCCTGAACTTTCGATCATTTTGCGTAAGTATATAATATATACAAGGTAGCCCACGTCTGGAGATAACACGATAAGTCCACTTATTCGCGATAAGTCCAATTAGTTACGTATTCCACCAATTCTGATTTGGGCACAGACTCACCCCACAATTCCGTAATAGGCGGAAGGCAGAGAATTCGTCAAAAAGCCCCCAGTAAAGAAGTCCTCGTGGCGTACTCATAAATCGTTAGCAATGGGATCCCACTCCACTGCAGTAGAATTTTAAAATTCTGAACTCTGTCTTAGCGCCCCTCGCTGAACCGGCAACCCGGGGTCACCACTTCCGGGCGCATGTAAACCGTGAAGCGCGGAGAGGTCTTTTAAGGGCAGTTCACAGTGGGGTTTAACTGAGCTAATGAAGACATTCGGCATAGCCGACGCAACTCCAAAACTATTTTTTTATCATAGCGGAGCGAGTTGAAAAATCTGAACTTCACGTATAACGGAGCTAGTCGACATATGGAACTGACTCCGTTAGCATAGATAAACTCGTGTGAACGGCCGTTTAAAGACCTGCTGTCCCTGTTATCTGGCCGTCACGCCAGCCTTTTGGATGGTTTAAGCCACGACCGTGCAGGATAGCATAGGTTGTCCTTCTTTGCCATAGGAACCGGGTCCGTGAATTTTATACCACTGATACAGACGCTGCTTAGGTGCAGATCCTAGCCAGAACGATTGTCGACCATCGGAGAAATTATATGACAAGATGGACACCATTTTTCTGGTATAATTTTCACACAATGAGTGAATCGGAAGGTAAAATAAAGGTGGAACACTGTTTTATTTGGCAACATCCTGTCGCCAGATAGATGGACAGTTAACAGATACAGAGAAAAGGGTTATGGTCTTTTCTAAAGAGAGTGGCATTGGTTTGAAAGCAGTGTGCTTTGTCGTAGGCCAGCCTGTATAAGATCCTCAATAATCTAATATATAAATAATAAGCGATTGTATGTAAAATTTGAAAATTATAGTAAATGATTTCTTATACTGTCAGATAACGTATGACAGCTGATTTCCCAATGTATTCTATTTTATCAGGTAGTGCATTCCATTTCCATAAATTCATGGAAGAGTGGTGGTTTACAGTGTTTGCTAATGCCTCTGCAGGAGTTGACACCTTGTTTTTAATCGCGTAAGTATAAATTTTATTTTATCATGAGTCAAAGAACACACAAACGTTAAATTTATAACTAGCCAAAATTCAGTTTTAGGATAATATTGGTTTTGTTGCAAAACTCTGAATTTTGACAAATAAAATTACGTAGCTCCTTTTTATTGTACCAACATCCTCAAAATGCACAAAATTTAAAGAATGTGAAATGTGTCTACAGTATAATAGATATTAACTATGTATGTATATTATATATATAATATGCATCAATATTTCCATAATATGTAAAAACCTAAAAATATGTGTACACATAATTTTGATGCAATAAGTGAATATATACTCGTATATCTCATATTCAGTCGCCAATACCAGCTATGTAAGGATCAATAACTGTCATAGATTTTCTTTAGGATAACTGGAATGCTATATGCAGGGTAATTTAAGAGTATGTGGACTGAAGTAATAAAAAAAATCTACATCACAAATCTTCTTCGTATGAACCATATGCCTCGCATATATTCGAACAGTTAAGTTCTTGGCATGCACAATGCAACAGATCCGTATTCTTTTTTAATTTGTTGATGCTACTTTCACAGAGCTTAAAGTAATGTCCTTGAGATAGCCCATCACGAAAAATAAAAGCGTATTATGTAAAGCCAACTTGGAACTGCCATATTGCGCAACTGGCACTGTTTTGACTCTGATGACTGATGACTCTGTTTTCCCTAAAGATCAAGGATGCTGTACATGTGCCACCATATTTTAAGATCCACGAGAACTGTGACAACATACTCAGAGAGCGATAAAAATTTGGATGTGGAACTTCTGCATATATAAGACCCGTTTACCTTATGATCACATACCATAAGGTAAACAGGCAGTTCATTCGTAGAAAGTTTATAATTCCGTAATGCTAAGGTATTTCTCCCACTTCCCTAGCGTGCCTTCGTGGTGTAGCGGTAGCACGCTGAGCCGGTATTCCAGAGGTCCGTGGTTCGATTCCCGGCGAAGGCGGTAGCATATTTTTCATCTTTTCTGCTTCCAATTAACCTAATTACTCTACAAGTGGCGCCCGAACTAAAAGGGTTGTGGATGATGATTCTTCGCACCCAGGATCTGGCGAATAGGTCCCCTAAAACCCTAGTCGCCCTTAAAAAGAGGAGTATATAAGGTATTTCTCATACTTCCCTAGCGTGCCTTCGTGGTGTAACGGTAGCACGCTGGGCCGGTATTCCAGGTATTCCAGAGGTCCGTGGTTTGATTCCCGGCGAAGGTGGTTGCATATTCTTCATCTTTTCTGCTTCCAATTAACCTAATGACTCTACAATGCCAATAAGGCTTTGACACTTTTCCCACCCGTAGATTATAAAACAGACATTAAACTCAAAGTTGCTGTAATGTAGAATATGAAAAAAGGATAAATAAATAAAAACAAATATAGTAGTATAAAATAAATTAGTATAAAATAAATTAACAGTAGTATAAAATAAATTAAAATGAACATACCAGAAAATATAGGGCGCTATCAGAGTTGGCCTCCTATCAGGCTTACTATACGTTACGGAAACTTAATGCTAACATGCCACAAAAATAAATGAATAAATAAACACAATATTTACGTTAATTACAACAACTGCATTAGGTTTTTTTTATATTTTCAGGGGACTGCAAGTGTCGTATGGACTATTTAAGAAAAGTGAAGCCGGAAAAGTTAAAATTAGTATTCCTAAATTTATTGTAAAATGGTACACCAGGTACGTAAAAATATTTTGTATTATTTATCCGTAGCTCCTTTTCTCGATTTTGTGTAAGTAACGGTACCCTGAGATCGTATGCAAATTAATATTTCTTTTGCCATATCACAGCCACAGTAAAAAAAAAAAAAAAAAAAAAAAAAAAAAAAAAAAAAAAAAAAAAACAATAGGTTTAAATCGATATATATATATTTCAGCTATTGTCTATATTGATGATTTGGGTTCTATGCGATTCCTGATGATTTAGAATTTAATTTGTGTGACTCTTTTTGTATGGCATCTGCTTTATCTGATAAAATAATATTAAATTAATTAAATATAATTTCATCAATGTGATCTTCTTGAAAACAGCTTTAATATTCAATATAATCTGAAATTATTTATAAGAACTTCCCAACTTTCTAAAAAATGCTTAATATTAGGTACTGAGAATCGGAGTCCGGCTTTAGTTCTTCAGTGGTTTTTAGAAACTTTGCATTTTGTACTAAGGTGGGTTGGCCTGTTGTTGATAAACAGAATGAAGTCTCTGTTTTATGCATGAATCATTAATTCAAGAAGTATGACATTAAAAATTATTTAAATAGAAAAGCAAGCTTTATTTATGATCAACAACCAGACTCTTATTTTATTTCCTAATTACATGTGTTTATTAAATAGATGTTAAACTACAAACATAAAAAGAGATAAAATTTTCAAGAGTAAAAGAAATACTTAAATTAAATTAAAAAGAAATGAAGTGATACTCCAAAACATTTCCGTTCAAGTAGAATAATAATAATAATTCCCTAAAGCTCATTAGGAACATTCAACATTTAACTTAAATTAAAATCATTTATTAGTAGAATAAAGATCATTATGAAAGAAAGTACAGTAGACTCTGAAATAGATTTTGTATTTCCACGCCCTTGCTCGTTTGGTTAACTAATGTGAAATTTAAATTGTCTAAATACACTTTATTATTTTTATATTTTACGTATTATTCATCTTCATTCAAATTTCTTGGCTTTCTTCTTTTTTGACCCTTGCAGATGTTACTGATTTGCGATTTGCAAAGAAACAGGAATAAATGCTATCCAAAAATATACTATCAGGGCATTAAAGTGGTATGATATTCTCTAATCGACAGATGAAGGAAAGCTGATTTCATGTCTGAACTTAATTATAGCATTTTAATACATGTTCAAGAATCTCCTGTTATCAGCATGGAACTGAGGAACAGGCCGAATGACTAAAACTCGGAAACACCGGTAGTTTACCTTAAGTTCTATTCCTCGAGGTAGACCACGCTACAAGTTGACGTTTGTAAACTTTTGTCATATGTTACATAAATATGGGACATTTCTCCTGGAAAATTTTCCATGAGGGCATTTTTCCATAAGCAATATCTTCGCTTGTTTCACCGTAATCGAATAATACAACGTGCAATCTCATTATGAGCATCTTGAAAATTGTTCGATATCAAAATTTGGTAGAATCAGTAATGTTGTTAGAGTAAGAGCAGAAGACATGCAGCTTAAATCTGTTGCTGAGCTGCTGTCAGGGCTTAATTTCTAAAATTAGAAGCGCCGGAGCCCTATGGAAGACTGTGAAGAACGAAAGAAAATATAATAATTAAAATAGCTAAAAATTTAAATAATTAAATTTAATTTAAGAGAAATGTAAAGAGAAAGAGAAATCTAACGAATTATTAATTTTAAATAGTTAAATAGAAAAAAATATATCGGACCTTGTCTTCTGAAGCAGCTCAGCCGATCTCCATCTGAGTTTAAGCCCTGATTATATGTATAATGTAGTATAATGTACTATTCCAAGGGAGGACAGGTACCACTTTTTTTTGCAGCACACCAAGGAAAAAAAAGATAAAACGATTAAAGCTCCAGTAAGGATAATAGTGAGAATTCTAGAAACAGTATGAGGATATGGAAGGGAATTTTAACGGGAAAGTGAAGCTGTGAAAATAAAGAGGGAAGAGTTCGAGACTTTCTGATCGCGATGCCCTGTCGATATAATTCTAACCGTCAAGCAGAAATTTTCCCTGAATACGATAGCGTAACAATGGGAGACTAAAGACTTCTCTGTACAAGTGACAGCAGTGGTCCTCCCGTTTGGTTACATCATTCAGAAAGTCTACAGGAGCCCTGCAATAGGAAGTCACTAGCGTGGAATGTGCACGACAGTACTTTGAAGACCACAAAGCCCACTTTGTGCCCGCTCTCATAAATTCATTGCAGATCCTGGAGAATAAGTCTTTGACATGATTGGGAAGCTTCTCTTTCCTTAAAAGTCTCAACCTCTGTGCAAGGCTTGAGTACGAAGGAAAGGCAGGCCTGCATTCAGAAGTTAGAATTGATATTTAAGACATGTTTTACAGTTAAAACAAAATTTATGTGCTAAAATTGAGGTTCACTTACATATGAGAAGTGCCGCAGCCCTTTTGTTTGATGCTTGGGCTTCGGTGCGTTTCCGGCTGAAATTATAATTTACACTCATGTCCATAAATTAAGGATAATGTAAAATCAGGCAAAGGAAGAGTTAGAAGCAAAACAAATTTGACTTATCTGTAAAGCTTATTTATTAAACAAAAGGTAAAGAGCAAAAAAAGATGCTATATGTTTGATATTAAAAAAAATTAGCGATTTTTTCTCCCTGGAGCAAATTACAAAAACACTTGTTTACAAAAAAAAAAAAAAAAAAAAAACAATATTACATGGTTGGTATGATTGTTAATGCATTGTATGTCTCCCAGACGATGCAATACAGTCCGTACAACGCATAGGCATGCTGAGTATCAAATTATCGATCTGATCTTGGGGGATATAACACCACTCAAAAAGCAATGCTCTCCGAAGATCCGGTAGACATGTAGGAGGAGGTTGGCGGGCTGCATCTCGTCGGCCAAGCATGTCCCACACGTGCTCTACTCAATTCAAGTCCGGTGAGAATGCTGGCCAGTCCATACGGGTGATATCCTCCGATTGAAGGCATTCGCTTACGATGTTTGCACGGTGAGGACGGGCGTTGTCATCCATAAACACAAATTGTGCGCCCATGGCACCCCGAAACAAACGTACATGTTGTTCCAGAATGACGTCCCGACAGATTTGGCTTGTCATGGTTCCAATTTGAACATGCAGGTCAGTTCTGGAACCCAGAATAATTCCTTCCACCCCAACGAGCACTGCCTGCACCACCGTAACGGTGTCGTTCAATGATGTTTTATTGGTGGTAACGGGTACCTGGAGCTCTCCATATGAAAGTCCGGCGAGAATCAGACTGCAAGCTAAACCTGGACTCGTCGGAAAACATCACACAAGCCCACTGTTGCGGTGTTCACATCGCATGCTCTCTACTCCAGGCTAACCGCAGGCGACAGTGAGTTGCAGTAAGTGGAACGCATCTGACAGGTCTACGAGCATATAGACCAATCTACCCTAAGCGTCTGTACACGGTCTGCCTTGAAATTGTCATACCAGTGGCTGAAGAGAGCTGACGAGACAGGTCTGAGGCTGTGCTCCGCCTTTTTCTTTTGGCAGTAACTGCCAAATACCGGTCCTCATTCGGCGTTGTAACTCTGGGACTACCTGTGCTGTAACGTCTACTCACATTACCATCATCTTGGAATCGTTGCCAAAGCCTGGAGATGACACTCTGGGCAATTCCAAGTTCGTCTGATACTTCCAGTTGGGTACGCCCACAGTGTGGAATGTGGGCGTACATTCCAGACGGACGATAATTCTACCACGTAAAAAATCATCCAAATGCGTCCTTTGTGTCATAACTATTCGGTTATTGCACTGAAATGCTTAGCGCCTGCGAACAATTTTACTTCTTTGCCTGTATTCCTTATATATCATTCTCTTACACTCTCGTCATTGTGACGTACCATCGGTGTCGTCTGGTTACTTCCTGAAATTTGCATATGATTCTTGAAGATGTGTGTAGTGATTTTACAGATGATATATTTATTTTAGAGTTCGATTTCCGCGTGACTCCGAATTATCCTTAATTTATGGACATGAGTGTATCTCTAAAACTGAGAAGTACCGGAGCCGGGCACCGGCGCAATTTAAGCTCTGCCTACTGTCTGATGCATGCGCAAAAGAATCGAATGAAACTACAATGAAAAATATCTCCATATCCGTCGCACTTTATTCAGCTGCACTTTCATATTCCCATGAGAAATTTTTAAGACCTTCTCATGTCAGTCACGCTAGAGATGACATCCCATTATAGTTTTTACACTGTAAACTTGATTTCGTTTCATGTTACATCTGTGCAAACGTCGGACTAGAGGTAACTGAATAAACAGTGATCAAGACTCCCATGAATATTTGTCAACTTTATTTCCAAGTTTATACGAATCCCTCCTCTTATGTTGAGATCTGTAAGTAAAGAAATATTGCATTATTAAACTGAACTTCAAATATCAATGACGCATGCGTTGTAAAAAACATCTTGTTTAATAAGATACAAAAGCTTTCTGGTTTTGGTTATTTAATAAATTTATTGAATCTTTTTATCAGTAACAAATTTTTGTTATTATTATTTCATGTTTTCCATTTTATTTACTCTTGATTTTGTATTATATTTTATTGCCGTATTTTCTTTGAAATGCCTATTATCCTTCTAATCTGATATAATTTTATATTAGCAAAAATATTTGTTCAAATAATTAACATCATAATATATTCACTTCGAAAATTCCATGTAGTCATTCATTAATATAAAAATGCTTTATGCACATTTTTATGTATGTATATTGTATTTACACTAGTTACAAAGTATTAGTTGTTTTGTTCTAGCTAGCAAATTTCTAAAAGACATCTAATGAAAAGGTTACTAAAGGTGGACTGTTGGATCAAAAATTTGTCCGCTTACACTTACATGCCTACAAATAAATTTTCAAACCAAACAAATTCAAAATTATCATTTATCTTTCCGCAGTTAGCTTTATAATTATACTGAAGGTCAAGAGAGAATAGAAATACGCCAAAGTAAAGCAAACAATTATACAAAGCAACAATTTTGTGTTTGGTATAGATTTTAGCCAAAAGTCTACTGATTTTGAGGGCGACCAGGTACCGGTCCCTTTTCATCAGAAGCGATCTGCTGACATACCAGAATTTATTTGCTAAACACAAGGTTGTTGGGAAGGATACATTCGTATTAATACTTCAATCAAAACGTTTTTTATTCCGAATTACATATTTCCTTAGTTATAATTCATGACATTTTACTTAAGACATAACTGCTGAATATCAACCAAATATTGAACTACCTGTTTTTGAAGTCTTGAAAGAGTTTCCGTTACCTATAGTTTTGATAATATATTAATAATTTCTAAAACAGGTTTGCGTTTTCACAAGTTATCGTCATTGGTTTGTTCTTGTGCTTACCATTAGTGGGCAACGGGCCAATCTGGGCTGATGTTGTTACTCCAGTTGTTGAGAATTGCAAGAAAAGATGGTGGTTAAATGTTCTGGCACTCAACAACTTCTGGTCTTCATCTGAAACAGTAAGTATATTAAAAAAATATATGGTCTTAAAAATAGTGGACATTAATTAAATATCTTAAATCAGTGTAAAGTGTGTTTCAAACATATATACCTTAACTTCCGTTTCAGAAATTGGCACTTGACTCATACTTCTATACAATTTTTTTTTAATATGTGTAGATAAGTGTTTATTTTTAGAAAAAGGACACAAAGTAGCTTCTCCTGCAGCCAAAATTCTCAGTGACTGGAAAAAATTACAGAAACTCTTTAGGGGAAAAAAATTGAAAATTCTCGGTGAAAATTTCTTGAAAATATGTCCGGCAGAAAAATTTACAAAATATTTTGTGATCATTTGAAAATCCACAGATTTGCATCGATGTTACATGCAAACTTTGTAATTGAGTCTACTATATCGAAAGCGTCATTCAAGCTGACAGCGTTGAAAAGTGGGTACCTGCAAAGTATTTAAATGACGCAGCATCTATCTAGTCTATTAAGACTATTAAAAGAAATGACTATCATGTTCACTAAGTTGAACTGCTCAAAGCACTGCTGCAATGCAGAAAGTGGTTAACCGTATTTAATAATATAGGCTGATGAGATATATTTGAAGCTGCTGTCCTGTGTTTACTTGAGCTTCGCCGAAATGTTCAAAGGTGAATATTTATTTCTTCCGTCGAATTCTAATGATTCTGAATATGGATTAAAGTTAAAACAAAACAAAACAAAAAATCAGATATAATTTTTAGATGATAAAATAAAAAAATTGATTTTGAACGAAAAAATTCTTCTCGTAATTGAAATAACAAACTCAAACAAAAGCTAAATTTAGACTGCTGAAATTAAAAAGCTAAGTTGTAAGAAACAATCTTTTCTTCAGAGACATACATACTCATACTTCTATACAATTTTTTTAAATATGTGTAGATAAGTGTTTATTTTTAGAAAAAGGTAATACTTATTGATATAATACATCGTTTCATCATTCAATTATAAATATTAATGTACTCTAAATTATACACCCCCTTCGGTGCATGAATAAAGTAGTCCCAGCGTTAAACCTGTAAGCAAGTTCAATGTCACAGAAAACTATTCTAATAGTTTATCTGTATCCCTCCACCAAAGCGTTATTCCTAGTAGGGAACTGTGACTGATGCTCTCCGTAAATCGGCACCTTGTGGGCTGCCTATGTCACCTATGCCTGGAACCAGGCCTGTAACGCTTTCAGAAGAACACAAAATTCATTAATCTATAATAGTTTAATTCTTTTCTATAATAGTTCTATTTTACTCTAAGCGTCAATTTAAATATTATTTATTTAGTAAAACGTAAAGTTTCTGTCATTTAAGGTGGAATACCAGAAACACTAAGTATATTAGTAAATGATCAATTCTGAATTCGTTTCACATTTTCTTTGTACATGGCTTTTTATATATATATATGGTTTTATAATTAATAAAATGAGAGTCAGTGCATCTCGAGAGGCGAAGCTGTTGGCCTTTTTTAAAACAAAACTTTTTTAAGTAAAGGGTGACCCGTGTCTAATAGTGAAATCAAAGTGAGATAAAAGTTAAACTCCATTACTTGTATCTATATTAAATTTTAAAATATACTGAGTAGATAAATTTAATTTAAGCGTATTTTATAATTGCACTGTAGGTTTTTCAATACAAACAAATACATTTCATCTTATTCGTGAAATTATTAAAGAATTGGAAATTATCGAAGTCCAATACTTTGAGTTCAGTGAGTGGAAATTCAGTAAATTTTACATATTCTGTTCAGTAGCACCGTATTGTTACATATGTCAGGTGTTATCGGGATGTAATGTCTATCAACATCGATTAACTTTTCAGGAAGACACTCTGTATTATATACAAAAACAATTAGTGCTGTTTTTTCAGTTTAAATTTATGTTAACCCTTCCACTTCTCAAATAAAAAAGAGGAAATAAAAGTCAAACGCTACCACCAATTTAAAGAATATCCTCTTCTTTCTTATTTAATTAATCTTCAGAGAGAAGCATTGTAACTCATAACAGCTTTACTGGTAAAATATACAGTCACATAATTAAAAGCATCTGTAATTTTTTTGAAAAATGTAACAGTTCTGCAACGAAAATAAAAGTATTAGTGTATATTTTTGTATTTATGCACAAACATATCTAATTTAAATATTTTTCTAGTGTCTTCCACACGCATGGTTAATTTGTGCTATGATGCATATGCTGTTCTTAGCTCCCGTTTTACTATTAATTCTCAGCAAGTAAGTTTTAAGTTTAGTTATTCATTCTTTCCTTTTAACCGAATTACTGAACTGTTACATAATTAATCTTTTTAATCAAAATTATTAAGAGATACCATACAGTCTGCATACCTCACTGATATGGTGCAAACTAATTGTATTATGCTTATATGGTTATCTTTGTTACTATTTTATTACACATTTACCTTTATATATTGTCTATATTGCTATCACTATATTCTTTCTATTATTATTATAGGTGGACATCCATTGGTGTTTTTGTAAATATCATCCTCATTCTGGGCAGCAGCACAGCTATTGCAATGGTGACATTGATGAACGATCTACCACCAGCACCAGCATTTTACTTCCTTAGTTTTATGTGAGTGATTCAAATTTTTGCTTTCAGTATATGTTACAAAAATCTGATGTGGACACCTCATGATTTCCTTATATGGGCTTATTAAATTATACACATTTTTCTTGCACTTCATTTAAACTTATTTTCTCAATTATTCTAACTTAATTATCCGATAAACTACGTCCAAAGCAAAATGAAAATGACATCCGAAACTGAAAATTTTGAAATTAGATATCCCGGTTAATTTTGTTGTACGGAAGCCAAACTTCTCGCATTGTTATTTTTTCATATCGAGTATAAAACTATAGGAACTATAGGAACAAATACAATATATACAGGAAAAAAAAAAAAAAAAAAAAAATCTGAAAGATTTCAGATTTTAAATTACGTCCAAAGGGGCGTTTTTTTTTAACGTTTTGTGTATTACCTTTATTTATTAAATATCAAGTTCTTTGCACTTAAACCACAAAATTCAGTTTAATAGCAATTTTAAAATGAGCATATCTTTAGAATTTCCGATACGCAGTCGCACGCGCTGGAGATAAAAAGGTTCCCACCCCCTGTAGAGTGTTGCCATTGCTCGCTTTAAAATCCTTGAGTTTGTTAATCAAAAATTCGTTAAAGTTTTAAAAAAATAGGAAATCGATCATAAAACAAATTCCAGATTTCAAATTTGATCTACCACATGACCATATTCGTAGAATGATTACGTCATTCAAAATTCGATGGCTCTATGCACCGTTGTTTTATCACAATGCGAGAAATATACATACATTTATGCCGATTTTTCATTATTTAATTTCTTCAAATATAATGCATTACTCTAACATTTGGTGGCAACAGTTTGAAAAGTGAAGCGGACATTTATTGTGATTCAACGGAAAATCGCAAAACGAAAACAATAGTCCTTCAGGGACAAAGCCTCTTTGGACTAATATATATATGTATATATATATGAATTGGGAGACCACATTAAAAGCTATATTTCGTTATTTGACCAAACTAAATTATTTTTAATTTGACATTGCTAAAGTGTGAATATTTTTGTCATTTAAAACGTATCTGTACCTGGAAGTATATGGCTAAGACCAAAGATTCTATAGACATACTTTTACTACTGCCGATTGAAATAAAAATGGATGGTGCACAGCTAGATGTTATACAAGATCCACATGCAAAATTTCAAAGTTCTACGGCTAACCATTTCTGTGTTACGCCAGACACATATATGCGTACGTAAGACGTTATGAAAAAAATTCATTGTAATCCATTTCACAAAAAACAGTCCTTTATTTTGCTCATATGTACATACATCACGCAAAAAAGTAGTAAAAATGAACTCGGGAAGAGGTGAAAATGGATATTCCCTGTAAAATGTAATATCCGAAATATTTTGGGATCACAATACTTTCTTCACTTCATACCAGAAAATAAAAGCATATTATTGATACTTATAAGGGGCTTTGAATTTAATAGGCTATTCCTCGGCGTATTATTTTCAACTTCAAAGTCGAGTAAAATGTCTTTATAACAATATGCATATAATATATAGATAATAAACATACATAATGATGTAATTTTTAATCAAAGAAAATCATTTTTATAGGTTTGCTTTCGATTATCAAGGAATAAACTATAGAATAGCGCAAGAAGAATATTTATATTATTGAATGTGTTCCCAGTATCTACACCTAGAGCATAAATCTGCGTTAAATATTTTTAAAAGTTCCAATCTTAAGTAAACAACTTTTAAAGCTTCATCTGCTTTTATTTCTTCTTTACTTTTCTTACTATAAAGAAGCCAATATTTGGCTATATTTTAAGTTACTACATTGCAAAAGGTATTATCAATAACTTCCAACAATTCATTTCGAATCGTTACGTTTCCTATATCAGTAATTTCTCGACCGTATCTAAATGCTTTGCCTGGACTTTACCTTTGACTATTAAATTAGCCTGGACTTTATTTTCTTCACCTTTCACTAAATTAAGAAATTGGAAATTTTTTCTTTGGACCTTGGTTTAACTAAAAATTGTTTTCTGACAAAAAATATAGCTGTATTATGTTGATATGTATGAGGAATTTCTTCTAAAATAGAGTCATATTCGGTATTATTTTCACTTTTACAATTTTTATTTTTTCCATTTCATATCCACAAGGTTGCATCTCCGTTTTTTTATATCACAAGTTCGATATTGGTAATTCTTTGTAAAGTACGGACGATTTACTTAATTTATTACTAATGATTTTTAAAATCTCCATATTCATTAAGATTATAATTCCATATTCATTAAGATTATAATTCCATTTTTATTAATTTAGGGGACATTATTGTAATAAAATAACGATTTAGAGAAATAAAAAAATAATTCGCGCACATTTTCTAACTAACCATATTTAGAAGGAAACTAAACTTAATACGCACACACAACAACAAAAAAGATAAAAGATTTATTATAATAATTTGCTAAAAAAGAGGGAGATGCATAACCAAGAGACGCAACCTCAGAATAATATAAATGAAATATATACATGATATATAAAAATGCCAAAATGAGCAATAAATATAATAATTTGCTGTAAAGGTCTAACTTGTTAAATGACTTATTGTAAGGTCACTCGACAAGAATGCTGCGAAATTCGCCATCATGAGGGAAAGCGCCATCATGAATATATGCAAACAGGAAGAATTTGCAAACTGTGCATATATGAATTGCGCAAACTGCGTTAGTCTGTAAAGCCTACACAATAAAACGAGCAAAAATAGTTTTGTATAATATATGACCCCATCAATGCACAATATATAAAAGTCAAAATATATAATGATATTTTCATGCATATGAACATCATTTTAAAATAAAACTGACTAAACATTATTTCATTTTTAGAAATTTAAAAATAATTTGGGACAAAGTTTTCATTCAAGCCTACGACCACATTGGCGCATTTTCCATCGGAATGCTTTTGGGTTTCTTTCTGAATCGCTGCTCTGAAGTAAAACTAAGAAAGGTAAATTTATTTCCTTATGCACAAAATTAATGTAATTTGTATTGCGATTTAATTTGAATAATATTAACTAAGTAACCCTACAAAAATTATGTTCTGTAATATAGTAGTTAAGCTGCAGTAGATTATTAAATGAGAGATTTTTTTTCCTTTATAAAAGAAATTTACGCATTATTAGAAAATAATAATACATTTATTATTATATAAGTTCTACAATATATCAGTCGGATAGGACTTTTGAAAACAAAGCTAGCATCCGGGTGATAATGTGTGTTTTGAATGACTGGATGAACAACCCGGTCAGATACCCGAATACTTCATTACCATCTGAATGGTCTAGATTTTACGTTCATCTAAACTGTTATTTCAACTCAAAGTGACAGTCGTAAAAAGGTGCAAAAGACATATAAGCAAAATGCAGAATCTTTACAAATTTTGGCCGAAACTAAGGATTTTTGACAATGTTACGAATCCTACTTTAAAACTAAAAACAAAGGAAAAAGTCCCAAGTCATAGAAGATGTTTGAATATATTCATAAATCATATATTCACTGAAAAAAGATAAAAATGTATTATAATAATTTGATGTTATGGCCTAACTTGCAGAATGACTTATTGTAACATCGCTAGGCAAGATTGCTGCGAAAAACGCCATTATAGAAACGCCTTCATGACTATGCCAAACAGGTGATTGGGTAGCGATCGAAAGATATCGTCTGTTTACTCAAAAATGCAGACTTCATTTTCGTGCAATATTAGAGACCTAGACTAAAGATAACATCAAGCGTTGAACATCCACTGCTGCATTTTTCGGATTTAAAAGCATGACTATGCTTTCCGTATCGGCATGATGCAGCAGCATTAATTACCCATGCAAGAAAATAACTGGTGCTACCTCAGTTGCTCTCTTGCAGGGACTAACATAGTCCTAGCATAAATTTTTCAAGTACAATGTTGTGTACAGAAAATAAAGATGACTAGCGGACGAGCCCGCCAGCTGAGCGGGCTGAAGCCCACTTTCGTTCGCCGATGCCTTCGTGGAGCGCCCGTTTCAAGGAATCGCCGCTTAGAGGGCAAACCCGACAGCTGAGAGGGCTGAGCCCGCTTTTTATTCCCGTATGCCTCTACAAGATACTTCATAACGTTACACATGCGGAAAATCACGAAAACACGTATGCAGCCACCCCTTTCGCCGGAATTCCAAAGTTTGACCTAACTACCAGTGTACGTCGATTTTACCTTTGCTACGCCCGCTTTATTCACGTATGCATTCAGAAGATACTTTATATACGATACACATGCGGAAAATCATGAAAACAGCCATGCAGCTAGCCCACGCCCCGGGATTCGAAAGTTGGACCGAACTACCAGTGTTCAGCGATTTTTCCTAGACTGCGCCTGCTTTATTCACGTATACATCCACAAGATACTGCATACATGTTACATATGCGGAAAATCACGAAAATACCCATTCTGCCAACCCGTTCGCTATGATTATAAAGTTGGACCGAACTACCAGTGTTCAGCGACTTTACCGCTCAGCCGCTAATGGGCCGTTGTACAAACTATAATCACGAACGTTTTCGGGTTTATTAGTCCAACAGTAGATTCGTTATTAGAATTTCTTTTTTTAAACTTCAACAGTATCCGCACAAAATTACAACAAAATTGCTTCACAAGAATGTAGTTAAGTTAAATTAAATTTAAATAATTCTCTTGCGCCATTGCTCCAAGGAATGAAATTTGAGTTTAACAATAATTCTCAATTCGTATAAAGCTAATATTCAATTAAATTTTAATTAAGAAATTTTAATTTAAAAAAATATATAAATAATTATTATTACTGCGAACTAATTTACAATATCATTTAAATTCAAAGAGCATATGTAAATTAAGTGCACGAATCTGAAACCATGAAAAAATATATTATTCCAAAAAAAAAAAAATAACATATTTTTAAAAATAATAAGATATTTACATATGCTCTTTGAATTTGCAAAAATGCATGCAATGAGTAAAAAATATATTTGCATCTGAAGAGACAAAATTATAGATTCTATGTACACCTGAAAAAAAATGTATAAAATATGAAATGTAAATGCAATTTTTAAAGCAACAATAACAGAAATATATATCACGAATGAATAGATCTTTAAAAAAATATGAAACAAAACATTAATTATAATCACAAAAGTCGAAATATTGATAATAGTTTCAAGTCCGTAAGTTAATTAGAAGAAAAGTTATTAATTTTTACGTGATTTTCCACCTTTAAATGCGTGAACTTTTCGCCAATCCAACGCTCGAGCGGATGCCAGCCGGTCCCCCCCACACACACACACATCCATCGCTTTCGAAAAAGTATTTTTATCTCAGCTAATTCCGAGACTGTTGCCATTCGGAAGAATGAGTTCGGAAATTAGCGTTTTCGCAGTTTTTAATTAATATCTCAGCCGATTAAAGTCGTACGACGATGAAACTGGTACCGATGGATTAGGATAACTTTTTGGAATCGGGGGCTATGCGTTTCGAATTTCAATTACGCGCCGTTCCGTAAATATTCGAGAAAACAGAATTTGGCACGTAGCCAAATCTTTCTAATAGGGAAAACCCGAGAAAGAAAGTGCATAACGTAGGAAAAGCGTAGGGGGAAAATTAGTTTTTAATTAATATATCGGCTAATTAAAGTCGCACGAAGACGCCAATGATCAAAATGGCGTGCCAAGGACGTGACGAATCCAACGGTGTGCTCCGCTAAGCCCGGGACCCAGCCGTTCCGGAGGAGTTGAGGTTACAAACAAACACACAACCAGACAGACACGCACACCAAAAGCTCTCAGTTATTATGTTTTTTTAAAAATGCTTTCTCAATTATCATTTAAAACGCAGATTTGATCCGGATGATGCAATATTTTTTAAGTTGAGGGTTTATGTTTTTAATTTTCGTGCACAATAAAATATTCTAAAATTTAGTCGGAATTAACTTAAGGTTTAGAAGGCTTAGATTCTTTTCTTTTTCTTTTTTAGCCTAAAACATAATAGCAATATCGTTATAATATATCTATACTGCGACTTCAGATGTCATTATTTCAGTACATAAACAAATTTTAATATGAAAAAAATATCAGACAGCTGAAAAATAAAAAAAAATGTTTTTTTGGAATACTTAAAAATCTTAAGAAAATGCTGCAAAGAAGTTTTGGATCTAAAAATAGTTTATTAGAATCAATATATTGTTGGCATTAGAAATATCTATAAGCAGAATTTTTCCTATTTACTAGACCATTATCTTATGTTATGCTATTTACTGTCCACTCGACTTGCAAATGTTCACCTTTCAGAAGATAAGATTTTTAATTCAATTTCCATCCAACATGTTAGACTGGTTCTTCTCAAAGTGTTGCTGTTAGACGAAACGGAGAACATTAATTTTTCTTTCAAATTATAACAGTAGTTATCAAAGAGACTAAGCAGTGTGAAAGCAATAAATGTACTTCCTTTATTTTATTCTTAATGTACTGTTAGGTATAATTCACATTTTATCCAACTGATAATTTTCCTGAATGTTTGCGCGTACTATAATTAATAAAAAAGTTTCTATTATTGCATATAATTGCTTCTCAATTTAAAATAATTATTAAGTTTTATAAATATTGTTTTTTTTTCATTCCCCTTAACTTTATTAAGTGTCTTCAAGCAAGAAAAAAAAAAAACAATTTCATTTTATTTCACATTTTAGTAAAAGGAATAACGTATAAATGAGTTTTGTTAATAAATTAATATTTCAAGTCTCACAATTCTAAATAAAATTTTCTCTCTAGAGCTCTGTTACATTTGGATGGTGTGCTGCAATAGCTTGCAATTTAGCTGTTATGTGTGGATTGTACGGTTATCGCAATGGAGAAGCCATGCAAATGACATTATCTGCAATTTATGCATCAATTCACAGAATTGGATGGTCCCTTGGCATTGCATGGATTGTATTTGCATGTGCTTATGGTTATGGAGGTAAGAAAATATAAAAGAATAATTGTATTATGAAATAACCTTGTTAAGTATAATAGAATTCCAAATATTATACAGACTAAATGGGTTTAGATGTTAGCTTAGATGTTTGCAAAATCTAAAAAATTGTTTTTTCTTTTATTACTGTTAACCAAATAGATATTTACTGTAATCCAGATAAGTCAGGGGCTTGTTTATTTTGTTTATAGTATTTTATTTGAATAAAGAAATTATAGATTAATAAACATTTCTATTTTTGCAAAATAAAATGCATATCATGTTTTTCTCAATAAAATTAAACAATGCAATTTATTATTTCTCTTAACTCAGAACACAAGCATTTCTATTTTAATAAAAGCATAAAATTAAATTTTAAAATTAAACACAAGCTTGTTTTATACTGGATTAAAACCACATAAGGCAATTATTTCTCATGTCCACAAAAGCCAAAATGTATTATTTATTTCTTATTAGAATTTATTTTCTTAAACAAAATGCATTAGTCTACTAAAAATTAAACAAGGACGTTATTTATTAATATGTAAAATTGTAAAACTGCTCAGAGAATCACAAAGAACAATAGGCCAACATATAGTAGGTAACTGCATTTCCATCAATAATATTAAAGGCCACATATCACCACATAAATCCAGATAAGTCAGGGGCTTGCATCGCAATTGATATCTCATAACTTTCATCTGAATTAATGCAATAGCTTTTTAAAAATGTACTCTATTGCATTGTCTTTTTTATATTTCTTTAATGAGTGAAAAATTTAAACACATAAGCAAATTAAGAACAAACTTAATTTTACTTAACAGAAGACACAGTGATTGCACAGAAGACACAAGTGATCCAGTAACTGAAATTCTACTGCACTTACACACATAAGATATTATTATTAATAACGTATAAATCATCAAGTTGAGTAAAATCAAGTCATACATCATCAAGTTGAGTAAAATGTTAATTCATTAAAACATCGTCATTAATTTGATTCTTACTTCAAATTAAGATTGAAATTTACGATATCACAAAACGTAAAAATACTACACAAATAAGTTAAATTTATGCAAAAACCATATAAATTTTGTAACTGGGTATCTTTTGATATAAAAATGTCTATATTACAAGTCTTTCTATTTTATACACCTCATTCCATTTGTTATGTTACATTACACTAACACAACAATTACCATCCAACCATGGCAAAGTGCCAATTCTCAAAACTGTTGCTTACTTGCAGAATTGGCGGCACTAGTTTCTGGTCGGTTATATGCTGATAAATGCTGAGAGTACAATCCCAGATGAACTGACAAGGCTATATGGTTGTTTTTTGTAGTTTTCTTCCTATATAACATGAATACAACCAATTTCCTCTTGAAAGTCCTTTATGAAGGCATCCTTCTTAGGCAAATAACAATCAAGTCTTTGCTATACTCAAATACACTGGTATTCACAATTAAAGGATAATGAGAAAAATTATGCTCGCTAAGTTAATGTTGCAGCCAGTGCCCAATGCTGTAATTATTTATGCTAATTAAATACAACTGAACACAAAATTGCACTTCTGCGCATACATTAGAGTCGAAAATATGCAAATTCGCTAACGGACAATGTGAAACGCAATGGACTCATGTTAGAATTCTGGTCCGTAATGTTGTTTAAAATGAATGTGGTTTCTGAGAGTGATAAGTATTCAGCAATTGTGGCTCAAGTGGCAAATACACTCTTTTGCAAAAAAGTCGAAGCACCATGAAGGAAGTGGTTGTTTTTGATGAAACTGAATATATCTATAGCTCATACACAGATAATAAAATGATTAAAAAATCATAGTTCCTGTTTACGGCTCAAAATCATCCACTGAGCGTTCAAATTAGCAGTTGGTCGAACCGCCCCTGGCAGAAGTACATGCTTGAATTCGTCGAGGCAAGGAATGACAGAGGTTCCTAATGTCATCCTACGACACATTCGGCCAGGCATTCATCAGTTCTCGCTTCAGATCTGGGATATTTTGTGGTGTATCCAAATCTGGCGGCATACCATGTCCCAGACAAGCTCGATTGGTGAAAGGTCTGGTAACCTTGATGGCCAAGGAAGAGTATTAACTGCACGGAGACAGTCCAGAGATATGCGAGCGGTATGTGGCATGGCCTTATCTTGTTGGAAAATGACCCCAGGATGACGTGCCATGAAAGGTAATGCAACCGGCCGCAGGATGGTATCAACATGACGTTGAGCTGTTAAAGATGACTAAAGATGACCTGCTGTCATAAGAAATAGCGCCTGGCTGTATGCCTTCGTAAAACAAAGGCTAATTGGGACCGCTGGCCCCGTCCTCTCCAGACACTAACACGATGATAATCTGCTTCAAGAGTGAAGCGGTGTTCATCGCTGAACATTGCCAACATCTTCGCACAAGTGTCTGTACGCTGCAGGTGGCGGCCTATTGCTCGATATGACCACCCAGCTTCACGCAACCCTACAATTCGACAACGTTCGAAGTCGTTAAATTGTCTGTAAGGTCTTCGTCGAAATTGCATCTTTAGTTACTTCTTTACTGAATTACAATGGCAGCAACAAAAAACATTAAATTTCTCACCTCTGTTACTAGTTTTATACTTTGTAAATTGCGCACTAGAAATGCGCTCTATGATCGGCCTTGAAACTTTGATCATTTGCATATTCGATCAAGATGTTTTTGCATACCAAATTTCGTCACGATTGCAAAAGTCCCTCTTGGAGCTTCGATGTTTTTGCAAAAGACTGTAATTGGTAGAATCGAATGAGATCAAACACAAATGAAGGCCGCCCAAGATTTGAATATCCCTCAAAGTGTCATATCAAAGGTTCGAAGCTGATTTCTAAGCACTGAATCAATTGATAGACAGCTTGGTCACTAGCAGGCAAGACTGCATCAGGAGACCGTTTTCTGTCGTTGTTGCGTCCAAGAAAAAGCGAAGCGAAAACGAAAGATTTGGTTTTAGACCTTCAGGCTACCACAGAAACTCGAATTAGCCAATGTACCGCTGCACGAAGGCTTAACGTGCTTGGACTGGACTGTATGCAAGAAAACCAATGGTTGGTGTCCCAGTCACTCCAGCTTCCAGAGGCCCGTTTAAACTGGTGCTATCGTCTCGTTTAATGGAGCCAAAAAGTGTAGTCCGAGTATTCTTTACTAAAATGTCCAGGTGTAGTCTGAACAGTGATTCTAGACGTGTTTTGATCTGGAGAAAGAAAGGAACACGTAACTTGCCTTCCCTTGTCCGTGGAATATCCCGTTTCAGCGACAACCTCGGTTAGATGGTTTGACAGGAATCATAACAAATGGCCGCCCCGAGCTGTTTATCTTTCAAGCAGATATCTAAACTAGGTATTGGAACCCAACGTTAGAATGGTTAGGGGTGCTTTTGGCCCAGAGTTTTTGCTAATGGATGAAAATGCTTGGTCTCATTGAACATATGTGGTGTCAAAATACCTGCTAACACAAGATATCACTTGAATCGATTGGCCACCTTACTCATTTGACTTGAACCCGATTGACCATATGTGGGATGCCTGAAGGCACCAAATTTCAGCGCGCCAAATTCCTCCCCGGACCATCCGGGAGCTGAAAAATTCACTTTTAGAAGAGTGGCATACAATTCCACAAGACTTATCAACGTTTTGTTAAAAACCTATGAAATCAAGATGGGAGGTATGTATATCTGTGCGAGATGGCCATACACCATATTAAAGGAAAACATTTTTCCAAAATATTTGACTTAATTTTTCCATCATTCTCCAATTTCCATTAATTTGATTTTAATTTCAATATTTTGCCAAACATTATAATTTATGTTACTGCCAAACATTATAATTTATGTTAACTAATGCTTTTGCAAAAATTTCTATTGACAATTCTTCATTAAATATCAGTTACATTTTATTTCAATCATCATCCTTCAATTCTGCTGACCAGTGTAACTGACCTAACTTACAAAATCAAATTTTTATCTCTTCTGATAAAATGCTAGTTTGGACCTAAAGATTTTTATCTTTCAAGTTTCATTATTATATTCCATTATTACAACAAACTCAGAAATTTAAAAGCAATACATATACTCAAATTTTACATTTACTTCATTTTTAATAATATATTTACTTGATGAAATTTATAATATATACACACATACATATATATGACTATATAAGATAAAAATATGTAAATCAAAATTCCCTTAATTTTCCCTCTCTATTCTAAAAATCGTAATAACTTCTTTGGATTTCATTTTTAGATCAATCCATCTCGCATGGCTTGGGTAACGCTATGACGTAACTAATTCGGAACCAAAACTCACAATTTTGAGAACTGAAACTTTTTCTAACCAAAACCTTCCTATTGGTGAGCTTCTAATATTGTATAAATGCACCACGTTTTAGCTTTAACTTCTGTGCTGCGTTGACTCTTCGCTATGCGCTTTCCATCGCCACAGTATCAAAAACGGAAATTTTCTGGAAATAGGCACGATTGCAGTGCCAGGTAGAATGTGGCCACAAATGGGAATTCAAATAAGAATGGAATTAAAACTGCCTCGATTGCCAAGTTTCTTAGATGTTACGAACTCAAAATATTAGCATTCTAAGCAATCAGATTTCTTCCTCTTCAAGTTGGATCTATGATCTATCCTATCTAGGGACTTCTGTCACACGCATCAACACTTCTGTCTTTTTCTTGTTTTCATTTTACACACACACACACACACACACACACACACACACATATATATATATATATATATAACTGATAATGTTTATGAGCCTATTAATTGTAACCTCGTTATACGTTTCAAATACACTCTAATACCAGTTTTACTTTTTATTCTGCAATTTTAAAACTAGCCTATTTGAATGACAGTTTATTTTTTTTTTTAATTTTAGAACAACTGTACTATGCTTTTTCTAAATATGATGATGTATGTTTACTTTTAGGATTTGTGAATTCTATTTTATCATGGAAAATCCTAATTCCCTTTGACAGAATAAGCAATTTTGTATATTTGCTGCATCCTCTGATTTTGTTTTTACATGAAGGTCAACTCAGAGAAAGAATATATATGGCTCATTTAGATCAAGTAAGTAAAATATCAGTTCTGATTTTAAAATTAGAATTTCTTATAAACTAGTCTACCTCTGTCTATAAAAACATTAGCTAGTTATACGAATATATGCACATTTTTTCTAAAACCCGCACCAAAAACGTTGATAAAAAAAGAGACAAATGAAATGCTTTAACTAAGCATGTTACTATTTTGTACTTTATTTTAAATGCAGTATATTGTTCTTTGTATAAACGTAAGTACATCCGATTCACATTATTATGACCTTCTTGGCATCAAACAAAAAGAGATCACCAGAAAAAATATTTCACAAAAAGTTTCTCAAAAGAACTATAACGAGAGAATATATAACTCTAAAGAGAAATATTCCTATTATTTATATTTTATATTTAATACAATGAACGTGTTATTTATTATAAAATACAAAACATAGCTATCTACAAAAAATGCTGTTTTTAACAAAGCTTATATTTTTATACATGCTTATATAAGGAAGGATCAAATGAAAACGGAAATGTTGTCACAAAATGAAAAGATTTTATTTGTTTTCAAACGTAATCACCAAAATTACACAAGCACATGTCCATTCTTGCACTAGTGGTGAATGCCTCGCTTGTAGAAAGAGTTTGGCTGAGACTGAAACCAGTTTCGAACTGTGTCCATGAATTTGCTGTCCACGTGTGCATCAAATGAAAACAGAACAGGGACATAATCTGATATTTCTGCTTGACTGTCACGAAAACTGTACGCGAACTAAGAAAGACAACCCCTATTGCGCAGTGGACTTGCCCTAGGTTATCGAGCAGTACCACATGATACTCAACGACGCTTAGCCAACAGTGTCGTCCGGCAGTTAATCATTTGTCATTTCATCCGCGTTTGCATAATGTTTGCGACCAAAGCATAGCAACATGCAGTTATTCGTATTTCAGCGGCAGAAGGTGCTGGAGATTGTGAAGTGCCTCGTCGAATAAAACAGTGTACGAAGAACACCCACTGTCACTGACTTGTATGCAGGACTGGCACAAGCGTTTTCGCGAGCGACGGGAGTTTTTGAAAGATGACCGGGGCCTGTTCAAAGTCACCTCGTATGACCAGATCATACACAGTCCAGTCACATTAATGTGACCACCACGTACTTTCCATGTCAGAGTTAAATAACCAATCACAGAAGGCAGGTGGCAGCACAGTGCAGTTGAGCGTATATAAAGGGTGTGTGAGGGCTTCGGAAAACATTTCAATCGTTGGCGTAATGCAGAAAACGAAGCGATCTATCAGACTTCCAAAAGGGCATGATCATTGGCTTTCGGGCCAAGGGTGGAAGCATTTCCGAAACGGCTGAGTTTGTGAACTGTTCACGTGCCGCCGTGGTAAAAGTGTACCGTGCATGGCAAAATGGGACTGTCCAAAATCAGCGACGTGGCAAATGTGGTGCACCACGGGCCATAGATGACAGAGGCGAACGACGGTTGCGGAGATGCGTTCGGGCAGATAGACGGGCTACCGTTGAGCAACTGACCACCAAAATGAACCAAGGGGCTACCAAAAGTGTCTCCCAAAGTACTATTCAGCGAACATTGCTGCGTCTGGGCCTCCGAAGCAGACGCTTGGTTCGTGCACCTATGCTGACTGCTGTTCATCGACGGCGAAGGCTAGAATTTGCACGCCAGTACAGCAGCTGGACGTCCACTGAGTGGCGACAGGTTGCGTTTTCGGATGAATCGCGTTTTATGCTCCATCGGACAGATGGACGTTGGCGTATAAGGCGTGAAACCTCTGAAAGGAACCACCCTGCAACCATTGCCGGAACGGTCCAAGCTGGAGGCGGGAGCATTATGGTCTGGGGAATGTTTTCCTGGCATTCTCTAGGTTCACTGATCATTGTGGAAGGCACAATGGATCAATACAAGTACGCATCTGTCCTTGCGGACCATGTTCACCCCTATGCGCATTGTTTTTCCTCAGGATGATGGCATCTTCCAGCAGGACAATGCGAGGTGCCATACAGCTGCCAGTGTACGTGCGTGGTTCGAAGAGCACCAGGATGAGTTTACCGTCCTCCCCTGGCCAGCAAATTCACCTGACTTAAACCCAATCGAGCATCTATGGGACCATCTTGATCGAGTTGTTCGCACCATGGATCCTCAACCGCGTAATCTAGCGCAGCTGGCCACGGCATTAGAGTCGGCATGGCTCAACATCCCAGAGAACACCTTCAGGGACCTATGTGACTCTCTTCCTGCACGTCTCGCAGCAGTCCGCTCTGCGAAAGGTGGTTATTCTGGCTTTTGACAGATGGTCACATTAATGTGACTGGACTGTGTATGATCATACGTGCAAACACACAACGAGCAAGAAATGACATCAACGAGAAGATGGGAGTGAGTTTCGGTACTGTTCGTGCCATCATTACGGAGAAACTGCATTATGCTATTATCACATACTCTATTTGTTGCCGGAACAAAACGTTTGGAGGAACAGTTCTAAGAATCGCTCTTCCGCGAAATCGGGTTACCATCTTCACTTGGTAAACTGGTTAAAAGCCAAACAAGAATCAGTTATCGCTCAGATTGGCGAAAGTGACATTTCCTTTCAAGTGACGTTTGCTTCTTCTTGTTGTTTTGTATCGCTCACACTCTTTCCGTTTTTAACTTTATTGTTAGTTATGGAAGATAATAGAAACTGGGTGATTGCTATCAAGTTAATCACCTTGATCTCCACTCTGGCACTTCAAGTAACAGATAAACACACTTCTGGTTATAGCAATCAATTACATCAGTAATAGCCAAATTCTGTATACACTAAGACTAGTTTAAAACGTGTGCTGGGTAAGTCTATTTATCAGACATTACTTATGCGTTTTTTCTCTGATATCTGCATTCCAATGAAAATTTGATGGCTCACTGGAAAATTTGTGACCTGGTGAAAGCATTTTCTTGACTAGCTTTATGGCTCATAATTACTGTTTTGTCCATAAATATAAACAAACAAACAGACAAAAAAAAAAAAAAAAAAACAAGACTTATGACAAAAATCTATGTGGCTGATATTTACATCCTCACAGCCAGCAGATACTATTCAGCAAAATGAAGATTAAATAAAGCATATGAATACATGAGCAATCAAACATGTGCGAGTTGTTTACTGTCCCATAGAACACTCGGTAATATACCTAAAACACATTAATTATTCCAACTCTAGAAATTAGGAGGTGCACATCATGAGTTTGTTTTATGTGATTACGGCAAAGCCTCGACGGATATCTGCCGAATAGGAGAAACCCCTTTGTAGAAGATTTTTTAAAACTGGCTCGTATACCAGTTACAAATGGGGAAAACCAAGAAAGCGCCCATGTAGCCAGCCCGTTTGATGCATTCTAACCTCAGACAGAACTATCAGTGTTCAACGACGCTTCGGCCACTAGTAGGCCTTGTGCACATAATTAGAAAATACAATTCATTATGTAAACACATATGAAGGTGATAATCTGTTGTGCTCTGTTTTAAGTAATGAAATGTTATAAATGCACTGCTGTTACATTTCTTATTATTTATTAGTCATGTTTATATTACGTAGATAATACATATGTATAATTATGAATTAACCCAAAAACAAAATATGTACACTCTTTAGTACTCAAATGCTCATCAATTATTTTTCAACTGATTATTACGTATCCAGAATAATTTACAAAGAACTGATGACTACAGTTGCTGCCAATTGCATGATCGTTGTATGAATTAGAAGTAACTTCAAATAAACTTTTTGGCAATGTTTATTTTTGTATTCATACATACATACATTACATCTAATAAGTCATATTTTACATACACATAGAGAGATGCAATGGTTTAGAAGTTGTTGATATATATTTATTAGTATTAATGTAATGATAAAGATTTATATTAATGAATGTATATACAAATGTTTTTTCATCATGCATAATAATAAATCCATAAATTTCCAATGTTTCAAAATGTAGCATTTACAATAAAAGTGTCGTTTCTAATGTATTTATAATTCAAAAAGTATTTCATTAACATGAAAATAATAGACAAATTTAATGAGTATACTCATTATTACATAAACTACGCTTTTCTTTTTTTATGCAACTTTTATTCTGTTTAAAATGTATCACTGATTATGCAATTAACAATTTAAAAGATAAGTAATTAGAAGAAAAGCCGAGCATATACAAAAGGATTTAAAAAAAAATTATTCAACTTAAATTTTAAAATAAAATTTTATTATATAAAAGTGATAATACACGATCAGCACGAAATACGACTAATTTGGTGAACTTTTGACGATGAACAATTTGTAAACAAATCTGAACTGCAAGAACGTCATAAAATACTGTCAACTCTGAAATTTCCACGATTATATATTTAATGAATATATAAACATTTTTAAAATGCCTCAGGCAGTTATATTATAACAAAACAGCAATAATTAAATCGGCCTCTATTTCCACCGTCTATGACTTCACAGTGAGAGCCATCGCCATATTGAAAGTTACCCGTGATCCTTCAGAAGCAGAACTTTCGTCTGATTGGTTGAACGTACGAGGAACACGTCTCCAGATGGAAATTTTTCAGGAAAGTTTCAAAATGTTGCTCACAGCCGAGACATGTTGCGCCTAGCTAGACGAAACATTTCGCGGAAGCCTCCCGCTTAAACCAGTGCTACTAGAGTCTCCTTTCTCGGAATTGTCCCGCGTAGCCGCGGGCGTCCTTAGAAGTGATAGCCTCTTTATAGGAAACAGAGTGCGCAGTGGGTGTCACAAAATCTTATAGACAATCAGAAGTGGATTCGCATGGATTGCTTTTGCAGTTCTTGCATAACGTGTTGAGGACAATTTCTTTGGCAGAGTTATGGCAGGTGATTAATCTTGTGGCCATCTCTATCACCCAGAAAGTAAACTAAAAAGCCAACATCCCAACTTCCTATCACCAAAGAAGTCCAGGATGATGCAGACTAAGGGTAAAATCATGCTGACTTTTTCCCAATATAAAAGTCCCTTTTCTCATTAAGTTCCTGGCTTCAGGTCAAACAATCAATGTTGCTCAGTACTGTAATCACCTGGAACGTTTGCGTGCAGCAATCAAAGCCAAGCGGCCAGACATGTTGTCTTGTGGAGTACTTTTGCTCCATGACAAGGCGCGCCACATACGCCTGCTCGTTGTAAATGGCATGGAATCAATCCTAGCGACGATCCTAATCGTGTTAGTGCGGAAGTAGCCGTTCTTATGATTGCGCGATCCTCGCGTTCATTTGTGTTCCTACGTCGCCTAGCTCTCTGTGACAGCAGATTATCCCTTCCATGATCCATTGTCTCCAACAACAAGCAACTATGGTATCGCTCTGACCGAGGTGGCAGCCGATTCATCTGTTTGACCAATCTGCTTCTCTAAGGCCTACTATATGCCTGCTCTTTAAGTTCGACAGCCGTCGGTACTGCCACAGGTTACTTTTCAGAGACATCTTTAGTCACAATACCGTCCATACAAGATTCGCTTGATTAGCCCTATGGCATGAGCAATCATGCATTTAAATTCTCCCAGCCACATAGCCAGCCCTTGTCTCATTGACGTCGAAATTTCAATCATTTGCATATCTCTTACCAGACTACATTCCTGTCGAGTGACTGTGGCTCGATTTCTTCTGGGTGCGCGTATTGTTTGTGAGTATATTTTTTGTAATCATATAATATTCAATGCTAGTATATTTTAATATCCACCATATTATTATGTATCTGCATTATTTAATCTAATGATGAATTAATAGAAATTTCTGCGTTGATTGAGACGCATGAAAGATGTATAATTTATTTTTCATGTACTAACCTTACTATTCTCTCTTTTTTAGGCTATGTATGCTACAGCATATATTGTCTTTACTGTAGCCATTGCAGCATTATGTTATGTCTGTTGCCTTATTCCATTCATGTTCTTTGAGAAAGTTGTATGGGAGTATGCATCACATTTTGGGTGCAGTACAAGAACCATAGACAAAACAGAAAACAAAATCAAAGACTGTATATCAACAGTGATAGATATATGCCCAGAGAAGGAAAAAGCTGGATATTCTCAAAAATTTAAAAATGTCATAATGGAAAAAGACTCTAAAGCTTTTAAAACCTAGTAATTATTTATCATATTAGTTCCAGTTGTAAAAATTTATTGTACATACTGTATATAAAGTATTGTAAAAATGTGCTATATGAATTCATTATTACACAGAGCAGTGCTCAAATAAACTTATGTTAGAAAAGAGTTCTGATTAACATGAAAATCTCTTGGTTGTACTTACGTGGTAGAGGATGGCTGTATATAAAAGAACTACAGAAATTTACATAAAAAATCTAATGTATGACTAAAGTTCAAAAATGAAGAATATGTATATTTATATATATGCCCATCGCATCGTGGAATATGGCCCCACCTACATCCATCAAATTTTGAACACTCTTAGTTCTCTACCTGAATATGTGTACATCAGTTTTTACATCAGTACATCAGTTTCAATTCGAATTTTAAATTTCAAATTTGTTTTTCATTAATTTCATATCTTCAGTGAATTTAATGAACGTAAAAGCAATGTGTTTGACACTCTGCAAAGTGCAAGATTAAAATTTGAAAACATTTCAAATTAAATTAAAATTTTTATTACAAAATTCAGCAGTTTAAAAGACGTATTACTATTCACCAAAACCAAAGATATCTGTCTTTGCACTCGAAAGTGCTTAAACTGCACCCGACTGCACTCGAAACGTAGCTGACGAACGCGCTTTTACGTTACCAGCGAAAAAGCGTCCAAACGAGTACGCTTGCGAAGAGTGCGTTTAACCAATAGAATTATTTTCCGCGAAAATTATGTGATGCTATTCAACGGAAAGGTATTTTATTATTAAATGAAAATAAACTCGCATGGAGTGACATTCATAAGCTTATTAAACAGCGTGAATATGGATATAATAGTAAAACTTCAAATGATAAAATTAAGATTTTTGCACACAACCCTGACAGTTATAGGGGTATTGTAAAAATTCTTAAGGATGCAGTTGTAGAGCATCACTGTTTTGTATTACCAGAAGAAAAGCAGATTAAAGTCGCAATAAGAGGTCTTACCTCTTCTACTAAAGTTGAAGACAATAAGGAGGAGCTTAATGCCCGAAATTACATCCACTGAGACTGTAATAAATGACACGCCGTCGAAATGGAGACGTTACGAAACTGCCTCTTTTCCTCATTACTCTACCAAAAAAAAAAAAAAAAAAAAAAAGGAATATATTATGAGAGCTATCTACTGGATTTTAAGATAAATATTGAAGACTATAAGGGAAGACAGGGGCTTCTGCAGTGCTTTAGGTGCCAGGGGTTCCACCACACGCAAACTGGTTGCAATTATACACCTAAACGTGTTCGCTGTGCACAAGAACACTTTTCATACTTATGCCCTTTCAAAAATGACAAAGATAGAACCCATGCTGTCCGGTTCTGAACATTCCTTAACTTTTGGTAGTTGTATTAAGTTCCCGAAACAAAAAATGACAAACAAAAAGCTTACACCAGCAGAATTGTCGAGAATAAGACATATTTACAAGCTCTTTCTGCAGCACTACTCACTGAAAAAGTTCAGGAAGCCAAGAAAGTATTTGTCGATCTTTCAGAACTCTTAGCAGCCATAAAAACCACTGGTATTCAAATTACACAAAAATGAAGGAAATTACTCAACTAAATAAGAACTTCAATTCTACCAACCGAAATAATAATGGGTAGATACAACCATAACAGAGTTCCGATGAAACTTACTGTTTGGAATGCCTGTGGTATTTCTAATAAAATTATGGAGCTGCAAAACATTCCTACTAATTATGATATAGACGTGCCTTTAATTACTGAGACGCATGTTTCACAATGCAATAATATTAAGATTCCAAATTATATGTACTACAGGTGTGATAGGTTGAGTCATCGCGGTAGAGGAGTCGCAATTTATGTTAGGCAATCCTTTCAGTCATGCCACATTGCAGACTTCAGAAATAACGGTCAGAAGATGATTAAGATATCCGTACTGTTCCTTATTACGGCGTAGTGTATTTCTGTGTCTTCTATAACTCGCTTTCGGTTCTATAGGATGAAAACATCTTAAAGAGTTTCTTGCCTTTAAACACGCCCGTTATTCTCGGAGGTGATTTAAACGCAAAAAGTGAAGAATGGAAATGCCAACGTACTAATAAAAATGGTACTAAGTTACATTATTTCATCATGAATAACCATGTTTCATTCTATGTTCCGGAAGATTACACTTATTTCCCTAGCGAACCCAGTAAGGCTGACATTCTGGATTTAATTTTGACTACTTCTTCTATACCCATGTACTTAGAAATTAAGCAGGAACTGACCTCGGACCATGTCTCGATTATTGCTACTCTTGGTACGACTAAAGTATCCAGAAGAAGGAAATTAGTTTCAATGACTGGACATTATTCAATCAGCTTCTTAGCGAAAAGCGCACCAGCATGCCTAAGCTTAAAACTTTTCAGGATATAGACGTTGCTATTGACCAGACTTACCAATTCTATTAGTCATGCAATTAGCAGTACCACTCGTAAACTCCCGGCCAATCACGGTGTGGATAGGCTACCCTCTTTTATTCGAGAGCAAATAAGAAAGAGAAATAAGCTCCGAAAAATCTGAAATAAGACTTGAAACCCAGCACACAAGAAAGAGCTAAATAAGCTAAATCGAGTTATAAAATAGAATATTTACGAATTCAGACAAGAAAAATGGGAGGAAAAAAGTACTCAGTTTTGAACGAACCTATTGGGGACCTTTTGGTCCTTCGTTAAGCGCTTCAAAAATAGTTCCACTACGATAAGCCTATTTATAGCAATAATTGTATTGCATTGACCAACAAAAGGTGAAAATTCTTGCTGATCATCATGAGCAGCAATTTAAACCTTACATTTCTGCTTTAAGGATGCATCAGTTGTTGAACTGTTCAAGGAAAGTCTTTTCTCAATATGATTTGTGTACACTATTAATGCCAGAACTCATTTATCTCAGAAAGTCCTCTCAAGTGGTCGATGGTAAAAAAAGAGGGGCGGGAGAACCTTGGACAACCCCCCCGGAGTGTTCTCCCTCAAAATTGGGGTGGAAAGTTTAACAGTTAGCTAGGTTCAGCAATACCTCAATTACCTATGGTACTATGGAAGTGCTGTCATAGCTTCTACCCGTACCTGTTCAATGTCGAACAGTGTATTTACGTACGTTTGCAACCAAAAAAGGGAGATGCACAACATGTTAGAGCAGTCTCATATACAAAATGTCAACGTTCTGTGGCTACTCGTTTTTGACTTAAATGAGATATAAATATGCATATATATATATACAGTATAAAGTCCGTAATCCGGACTCGTCGGGACTTCGGCAATTCCAGATTCTGGGTTTTTCCGGATTTAAGATCATCAATTTAAATCTGGTCAGATGGCGTGCAGAAATTGTACAATTAAAAACATGAAACCGTAATTTATGAAATAAAGAGTATCAAATTTTACAAAAAAAAAAGCTTAATTTTTATTTGTTTAACTTTATTAAACATTTCTTTCAACGCTCGCATGCGTAAAGCATACGCGTAATGTATGCGCATTCTTTACACGCATGCGTAAAGCATACAAAAAAGCTTGTGGCATTTACGTCCGGATTATAGATCATTCCGGATAATGGACGTCCGGATTACAGACTTTGTACTGTATATATATATATACATACGTACGTAAGTACAGACGTTCCGGAAAAATATTTTTTTCTTCTGTCCGTATATACAAATATCACGTAAAAAACATTGTTCAGATAGATTCGAGAACTATCAAAATGGATATTTTCATTGAAATATGATACCTGAAATTTTTCGCGATTACAATACTTTCTTTATACAAGGATGTAAAAAAGGAACCTAATCAAGTCACATGTTTTTATTCCCAATATCAAAGCAAATGGGCCATCTGCAAAAGCTTCTATCTTCCTAATATTAATTTTTTTTGGGGGGGCTCATCAGCGCGAAGCATTTTATTTTGTCTTAATAATATATCGAAGACATAATTTAAAAGAACTTCTAATAGGTAATATTCTACCTTAATATAAAATTCAATGTACTTAAATATCTTACAAATCTCATTAGATGAAACCTTATGTAATAATAAAACGCTACTTCACGTGTGGGTTCCGTAACTTCAAAACCAGACTGATTTTCACAATAGAGAAAATCTTCAATATTGCAATTTCTCAGATATATCACTTAATTCCTCAAAATCATATGAATCAATCAATCTTCAAAATCCCAAAAGATAGACCAAATGAAGAAAACCAGAACTCTCACAAATATTCCAAAGTGGAATAATTTTTTTCCATTCTAATTGCCATGAAATCACGTTCATTCTTTCTTCAGAATCTTGAACCAAATATAATAAGCAAGCATTAGAATCGAGAATATTCACAAATAAGCACACTAGCTGCATGGGTATTTTCACAGCTCATATCCACATTTCGCATGCAGGCATCCCTTCCATCAAGCACGTAGCCCTTGAGCACTTTGGCATAATCAAACCAACCACAAAGGAAACTCAATGCATAGAATCATAGTGATTTTTTTACAAATATCACTTGGGATATTAACTTGAAAGACAATAGAATTTGTACAATTTCCATAAATATCAGAAGGATCTCCCATCCATCAAATATCCTTTAAAATAGAGCTTCAAAATCTTGGGCATAGTCTAATTATGAGAGCATTGAAACCGAGAATATTCATAAAGCAACATATGGAAAATCTGCCATTCAAAAGCGTGATGATGTTTTGAAACATCCTACCAGTTCTAACTTACTTAATATAAAAGTTATGCCATAAGCCCAACACGGAATCAGGATGCCCATTTCTGGATGAAATATGACTTAGTATTCACAAAAGTATTTACCTTTGATTTTACAACAGAGGGATATTAATGAAATTTTTCTAAACCCCCCCCCCAAAAAAAAAAGATTTAGTTTCTTCTCCTCTCCTTTTTGAATCCAAGACTGTCATCCAAGACTGTCTCTTGCAAATCACTCACATCATCCTTTGCCATATCATGGAGGAAAGAAGTCTTTGGTCCTGTCTTTGGCTGATACAAAATTTGTCAGTGAAAGGAAGATTTTATAACATTGTTCTACAAATTT